GCATAGGAAAATCAAGTATTTACTGTTAGTGAAGGTCAAAGCAATTAACGCAATTAATGCATCTAAAATATTGAAACAGTATCGATTAAAAATGTAATATAGCAATCATTCTAATGTAATCTTGTAAGCTATTCAAAATTTAATGTTTTATCAAAATGATTGCAATGCAGTTGTTTTTGATGCCACCTGCATCAGTACAATATTTCTCAAGTTTTCACTTTTTTTTTAAAATGCCATACTATATAAATAGAGACTTCAGAAAAAAAAAAACCAGCCATTTCATAAAATTGGCACTTGAAAAACCTTGCCATAGTATATAAAGAGTTCAGAATCAAACAACTAGCCATCATATAAAATGTGGACAAGGAAAACATTGCAATAAGTATATGCAAGTAACAAGCGGAACTATGAGATTTGATCTAAGCCAGTGTTTTTTTAAATACAGATATGCAATTTTCTTATCTTAAATAAATGACTATAGATGGAATTATGCCACTCATAAAATTATTGACTCATTACATAAAAGAACTGTTATTGATAGCAACATTCCAAGCCTACTACTTAAAATCATTACAAAATAGCAAGCAAACATTAATCAAATTGCACATGATTCTTCCATATTCCCAGGTTTTAAAAAATTATTATAGAGCAATGAAACTATATTTTCAAGAACCACAGAGCTACGATTGCTGAGACAGTGGCCTGTATTCTCTGGACGGTAAGCCAAGCAAATACTGAAATATGTAAGGCATCAAAAGGATACAGTTTGCATGAAAGAAAAAATGTTATCCTCATTTAAGGATTAAATAAAATATTTGACTTACTTCATATTTTGTATGTTTCACACATGCAATTAAAATAATTAGTTTGTAATTTTAATGAGTTTAATCTTACTAAATAGTTGACATGTGACTTAAAAAAGAGGCAATTTTACTCATTAAAATATTTTGTCAGGAATATTTTTTTTAAATGGGTTAATAATAATAATAATAATAATAATAGCAGAAAGTTATGACACGTAGCATCTTCCTATCCCAATCTTATTGCAGTTTTGATTCATAAAACTCATGTTTAAATTTATTATTTTTTCCCATAATACATCTTCTTTATTTTATGTCGATTAAATAAAGATTTTAAAATTATCTTTATGTTTCGATTAATCAAAAATTGTTCAGACTAAGACGAACATTCTTAAATGTAATAAGAGAATGATTGATGCGACATTAAAAAATTCCATTGTGATGGAAGAAAATATGTTGTAGACGAGGAAGAACTGTACATGTAGGGCTAGGGTTTTTTAAATTAGAAAGTAAATTGAAAAGACCAGGGAATGTTAGAAAATTAAAAACATCTTTGCCTTGGCTCAGTGTAATGATTCTCACAGAGAAATTTGATAAGCTTTTGTAAACAAAGGTGATAAAAAATCTTTGCCATGGCTCAGTCCGAGTATTCTCACATATGTAGAGAAATGAAATCACTCAACAGTTTGACTTCACTGACCATAATCATAAGATTATGCTTTTAACATAATAATATTGAGAGTATAAATGTTAGTTAAATACTGAACTCTCATTCAGAGTTATAACCAGACAAGTGTTCAACTTTCTAAAAGTATAAACCTGTAACAGCAATGATTAATCAGAGATAGATCCACTCTGTGTAAAAGTTTTAGATCCATTATATTAAAGTGATACACCAAATTACCATCAATTAACTTGATGCCAACCCAGTGGTGGATGTGACGGGTTCTCAGTGATAGTGCGTTGTACAGAATTATTTCTGTAAGATAAAAAATGACCCTTTCAAGGATGACAGTTTTACTTTTCATTCAGCTTGCTTTTTCCTATCATTGTGGGCCTTAAGAAATCCAATGGGCAGCAAGAGGAGTCCAGATAAAATTGTGAGACTCCCTGCCAGGTAGAAGCAGTTGTCAATACTTCCTGTGGCATCCATCAGCTGAGCTGTTAGGAAAAACAAATTTAAAATAGTGTAAATGGAATGGAGTATCAGTCACGCAAGCTCTTATCAAAAGCAGATGTATTAAGAATTATGCTTAAAATTTATCACGTATGATTGTCTAATATTATCATTAATAGTGATTTTAAGAAAATAATATTTCCATGAAAATAAAGATTAAATTAAAAGGTTAGTAAGCACTTGGAATTTAAAGAAAAGGGACATATTTAAATCAAAACATTTTTATTTAATTATTTAATTAGCTATAGATAACTATTGTAAATAAAAATTAGTTCATATATTGTGCAATGAGGTATACAAAAATTATAAGGTTGAAATAAAATAATGATAGCAGCAGATTCAGCTAAACTGATAACTCTCTTCTAGCTAACACAACCCTATGGCCAACACTTACAAACTATAGGAGCTCCAATGAATGCAGCAACTCCTTGGAATAAGCTGAGAAGACCAAAGGATTTAGTGAGCACTTCTGCACCCAGCAATTCCACCAGCAATATGGTCCTCAGAGACACAAAGATTGCTGGAAAAAAAATGTATTTGAACAATTGTTATGTCTTGTTTAGAGAAGTATGAATCATTAATTTCCCATATGTACAAAAAAATGAAGTAAGACCATGAACTACTTAGAAATGCTGGCTTGAAAAGCATGTTGATTCAGTTAGGAAGAAATGTAGTGATCTGAAAGAGATACAGCTCTAAATGGGTGGAAAATAATGGCGGATACTTTGTGCTTTATTATGAGAAACAAAGACCCAAAGAAGAGAATCGTAATATAGTAAATAGTTTATATCAAAGCTTCTCAAACTTTTTGGACTCATAGACCAATTGAAAAAGCTGTGCACCAATGGTAAACAAATAAGTCATCAACAAACCTGTTAACCCTCAAACTCTTAAAATCGTACAATATCATCCCAAAATCGTTCAATACATTATCTTAATAGTACAAAAATTAACATACATTATATATCATGTGTACACCTCAAAATCGTAAAATGTACGCCAAAATCGTAAGAGTAAACAGGTCTGCATTAAGCTACAGCTGATTTGTAATAATAAGGGACATTTTGTGAGCTTTTTAACAAACAAACACATTTTTTTTAGGTAAGCATTTATCAATTGTAAAGTACTGATAAACACAAAAATATTATTGTAAATATCTAAAAATTCTCCTGACTAACAACCTTGTCCATGCACCATAGAAGAAGCGTTGATTAATATCAATGAAAAGTTAAATATATCCCAAAGTTTTAAAAAAAACATATATAAAAATATTTGGTGAAAATATTTATAAAATGCATTCACAATTAGATTCGTAATTATTTTTTTTTTTTACCCACATACTCCACTGCCAATGTAATAGCAAGAAGTGCACCTGGTAATGCTTAGATGTGTAAAGTGTTAATAGTCCCATGATAACATGATTTAAAAAAAACAAACATTTTTATCTATTTCCTTTTAAAAGAATAACCCTAGTATGTTGAGGTTGGTGTCCAATATGTAGACATTGAATAATTACCTAAACATAAGCCAAGACATGCAGCAATGGCAGCCAGAAAGCTGTAACCTTTAGCTAAAGGACACAGCAACTCAGCAAGTCCAGCAAAGATGAGGGCAAAGTTGTTCATGTGTATGGAGTTGATGCATGGCCTGTCCGCCAGCCAGCCACAGACTATCCTGCCCAGTGTGTTGGTAATGCCAATAATGGATATAAGAAAAGTTGCATTTTCAGCTGATATACCTAGCTCTTTGCCTTTGGAGGGCAGGTAGAAGTATGGGATATAGAATGCTGTAATGTACAGAAAAATAAAGCATTACCTCAGATAAGAAATAAAACTTAATAAAAAAATTTTTTTAAAAGTGATAGAAGAGTAGTGGTTACAAATATAAAAATTGTTCTTTTTTTATACCACAATGTTATGAAACTCTGAAAGGTCCAATATAATTATATACCGTATAAGAACTTAACTGATTAGCTACCAGATTGAAATACCCGATGTGGCCGTATCAAATCTAGGTAACATTTTCTCATTTTAGGTGTATGTACAAATTCAACTATAGTTTTCTCAATTATAAACATATTCCAATGATTAATAAACCATTTTTAAGGTAATTGAATTGTCTATCAGATAAACTTAAAACATTTGTAAAGTTACGTTTTGTTGGGAAATTATTAATAGTTAAATTAGTATTTACAATAGAAAAACAAATAAAAATAAATAAATGTGCCAACTTACATTTAAATTTTAAATTTCCAAATCATTTAAATCCTTTTATTTGGTGGTTTTCAAATAGTATATCCAATAATAAGAAAAATGCACCAAAGAACATAGATATTGAATAATATTTACACTTCCAATCACTTATATGCCTTTAGTAACCCTGTCACTTGTTGCCACAGTAAACAAGTCGTACAACCAGGGGTGGACTGGAGAGTTTAAGAGGCCCGGGAAAAAATCAAAGCGGCCCGAGAAAAAACCAAAAAGCGGCCCTATCTTCATGACTTTTATTTTTATTATATCACCGGTCCTAGCGGCCCATCGGGAATCTTCCCGGTGTCCCAGCCCACCCATGCGTACAACTTTGTAACTAGCTTGGAAATTAAATCAAAATTAATTAACAGCCCGTTTTTTAAAACATTCTGTCAATAGCATGCGGTTCGAATATAAACATTCTGTCGGTAAATTAAAATCTGGAAGTAAAACGGGAACGGAATAATATAAATATTTTTCTCGATTTACTATGATACAAACCTTGGTGCAACCAGCGGCTCGTGGCCATACGAAAGAAACACCCAGCCGCTCCCACAGGCTCATGGTGGTTAACCAGTTAATAAAAAATAAGTGATACAAGAGCAGTGGTTATAGAATTAAAAATATTTTTTAGTAAATAAGGACAACCCTCAAAGCTATACAAGCATTCCATTCCCTGTCATTACAATCCAATAAACATTTCAAAACTTTATACTGATTTTAAATGACAGAACAATGTTGTTTGTTTAACATGAAATAATGCCCATTAAGGTCAAGAAACTCACCAAACATGGTTAGGAAGTTGGAAGCCACCAACAGGACAAACACTGGGTTGAACAAGAGCTGGAGGTCAAACATATCACACAGGATGGTGCAGAACTTCCTCAGTGTTGAAGAGTTCAAGTCCCCCTCCATTTCACCCGTGTGATGGGCTCCACAATTATCTTCAATGTGCGATGGAAGCTGGCTCTTCAAGATGTTTGCCATGTAGCTGATGGATTAAAATGAGGCATAGAAAAAAAGAATACATCTTTGGGTTTTTGCTGTCTTTGTTAGCCAACTATTCAGATACAGTATGCTGGCATTAATTCATAATTTGAAATAACACCGATAAAAAAAGGTTGCTAGTTAATGAAAATATCTTGCTTAACAATTTTAACGCTAAGATTGTAATTAAAATCAACTAAATAGAAAATAAAATTAATTTTTGTTTGTCAATTGTCCCTTGAGAGCAAAAGTTATAATCACCAAAAAAATTTGCAGAGAAATTCTGAACTGTTTAGTTCTCATGGAATAAATTGATATTGTGAGATTAGCCAACAACAAGAGAGAAAAAAACAAACACAAAACCTTTAGTTTTTCATACCTTATGCCATTCTTATCCTGCGTTCCATTACAGCCATTAGGAACCAACTTGATACTGACTATGTCCCCAATAATGGTTTGTAGCGACTGGATGTCGTTAGTGGAGTGAGTCAGCTCCGTTGAGCCATCATTACTTATCTGCTCGATGTTTATTTCAACCACATCCTCTTTTTTCAAAGGTGAGATATTTGGCATACCGCAGTAGCTGTGCCTCTTGTTGATCCTATTCAGTTTCTCGCAATTACTTGTAGCGGGCACAGACAATGATGATCTGTAATCAGGTCTAAGGGAGCCAGGAAGTGACCCCCACTTGTTAACTGTCTGGCACTGGGTGATGTGCTGGTCATCATGACTTTTGATCAGTAAAGGGCTATTATTGCATCCGTTTTTAGCTGAATTTATGGTACTTTTAGATGAGGCCAGGCTTTCAGCGCTGAAGCCAAGCTGGCGTTTAAATCTGATAATGAAAGAGTTATTTTTTGCATTAAAGAACCCTGGATGAAACTTAAGCAGGCGGTTGTCCTTGGTTATGATACAATTATTCAGCGAGCCTTTGGAAATAGCTCTCTGTCTTTGTTTGTTGTGTATCAGGGCTTCCATGATGGGGCCACGTTCAACAATGCCTCGTTTGCTGTTAAATCTGTAAGCTCTGTGATCCAGTGGTATGAAAAGCATTCCACAGATGGCACAGTTCAAAGCTATTCCACCAAAAATCAGAGTTTGTCCTCGCCAGCTATATTCAGTCAGCAGGTAATGTGCCAACTGTGGGAAAAGAAACTGCCCACACCCAGTGCCACAGACAACGATGCCAGTGGCAATACCAAGTTTTTTTCTGAACCAAAATCCAACACAGACAATTGATGGTAGGTAAATCATTCCGAATCCAATCCCTGAGAAGTAATTGATACTAAATTATTATCACAAAGTTTATATTTTCAATTAAACTGACATACATTTTAAATAAATAAATATATTTGAAAAAAATGTATGAATGAGTCAGGAAAAACATACGACTATAAACTTGAAAATGTAAACAAAATTGTTGCCCCATATCACCTAGAGAATACTACAGATTTTTTGTCTTTTTCCGTTGTAAGATTTTTCTCAGTAATTATTCTCTAACTTAAGAAGCTCACGAAAAAGGTTGAAGAGAAACAGTTTAGAATTATATTTTTTTTAAATAGCACTTGAATTTTTTAATATAAGAAGACATATCCTTTAAAAAACACATTAAATAATTTTATAACAACTTGCCTCCAACTATTCCATATGTGAAAATCAACATTTCTATACTGTTCCATAAACTGCTGGTGGCAAAGCCAATCATTGCTATGATACTACCATATATAGTGACCTTCCGACAGCCATAGCGACCACAAAGTGCTGCAACAAATGGACCTACAAAATTGGAAAATTTAAATAATTTTGAATAAACAAAAAGTAATTTTGTAATTATTGGTTTTTTTTATGCATATACATCTGTAACTGATTTTAAACTCATATCACAATAAGTGTATTAATTGGATGAGGGTGAAAAAAAATTATAAGAGAAAATAGCTTAAATCAGACATTACACAAAGAGAAGATGAGAGATAGAGGAAGAATTACAAACAGATTCATGGTAATTTTATTTAGGTGAATTCATCAGCTTTCAATTTTTATTAGGAAGTGAGTTTTTTCAATAAAATCTTGTTAAGGTCAAAGAATATCTCACCTTGTAAATTTATAGTTTTAGAGTAGCTAATCATGAAGTTTTTCTCAATTGTGACATGAGGTGCAGATGTGATAAACTAACTTTCTGCCTTAAGTAGCAATTATTAGAAAAAAAAACACTTGAAAATACTTACTCAAGCAAAAAATTAGTGAAACACATTAACTGTACGGCTTATTAACTTACCCACAAGCAAGTAACATCCGGCCAATGACGACCCCACCCAGCCAACCTTAGAGTGACCAACACCAAAGGCCTCATTAAATTCTGAGCTTATGATCCCAAATGAGAAACACACTCCATCAACAATCATGTTGCAAATAAAGGATGCCACCACAACTAGCCATCCTAAGCCACCATCGGGTGGGGTGAGGTTTTGTCCCTCCTTCTCCTCATCATCACTATTCTCATCTTTTTCCATAGCTCTGTCATCTTCTTGATGATTGCAGCTATGCATTGATTAACTCGTGATGTAATTCTTGTGATGATCCAGCTTATTTGCTATTCTACATATTGGTTATCTGTGACCAAAAAAAAACATACATTTAAACAAAAAATCAATATAATTTGTTCAACAAGAAAAAATATAGCATAAAAATGTCCTTTTGGACAATTTTTTATTTTTTTATTTTTAGGAAGATCTTCAATGCTTAACTTGCAGTTTTTCCCCATGTGCATGTTTTCTTTTCATAAATCAAATACCTTTCCAAAACAGAAAAAAAATGAACTCTTTTCTGACATATAATCTGTCTCAACAGTTTGATAGACAAAGTGACAAAGAGGTGTTTTGCCCATTTTTACTAATTTTATTGTAGTATAAATAATAGTCATGTAAGAACTATAAATGTTAGTTTGTAAGTTTAGGGTTAGACTAGTCAACCAAGTGATTTTTTGCTATTTTAAAGACATTTTCATTTTGTATGAAATCTTTTGAAACCAGTAGCCGACTATGGACTATGGACGGAAAACGTTACAGGGAGAATGCAGGAGCCCGTCAGTGAATTAGTGGTTTTGCAGGAATCAATGTCAAATCATAATATCATATTTATTATTTATCAATCTATAAATCATAAACAATTAATAATTAATAATAATATTCATAATTAATAAGATAATCATATTTATGATTCATGGCATGGCATTATCGCTTAGGCTTATGGCATTAACATTAATGTTAATTGAAATAATTGCAATGCATCATTCAAATTCAAGGGGCAATCACATGTTAATAAGTAATAGACAACCCTCGGCATCCTACAACTACAAAATACCCCCGACCATCGCTATCACTACACTACAAACTACAAATTTATTTACAAACTTCAACTTTAACCAACACTGCCAACTGCAAGTCAATACATTGAGTATTGAGTACACAGACGGAGACAGAGGCTAAGAGTTATTTTATTAAATTTAAATTACGTTAATTTTATTTTAGGAATACATTTTTCTTGAACAATTTCAGTAATAAATCGTAACTTACAGTTAAAATATCGGTAATAACCGAAATCCGAAAGAGATAGTAATAGTAATAGTAATAGTCTGAGTGAGTCTGGATAGACTCTTCTTGACTTAGACTCCTATTTACTTCTATATTTAGATTGACATCGCATTATTATCATTACGGCTACGGGTAAAGGTGATTACACTAGACTTCAGTTTCACTTAGACTTAGAATAGGACTATACTGTCACCTGAGTGACACTGTGTCTGTACGGTCACTATGTATAACAAACTATATAATATGTAGCTATTGGCCCTTACCACTATTATATTAGTATGGTTACATACAACGTATTGGTAAATATTAATATCATCTTTAACTGATCAATATTTGGAAAATTAATTTTAAGTGAGCAAAATGTTTACCTATTGAAATTTACACTACCGATTTCTTTATTGTTATTGTTCAGATGCATAAGTGACCGGAAGCGTTCAATTAGACTTATGGTTAAAAAATTAGCTACAAAGGCACAAAACGGGCGTATAATAGCCAAATTTATTAAAATGGTATCTTCAGTAAATAATCTGTTAATTCTAGTTAGGCCTATATATTTTTTTTCCAAAATAGCTTCTAGTTTATGTAATCAGTGGCATAGCTAGGGGCCCAGGACATGGGCGCCCGCAGGTAGGGGCAAGGTGGGGTTACAGTTACTTACTTGCCCCCCCCCCCTCCTGGATTGAGTGGATAAAATTTTTTTTGACAAAAATAGACAAAAAATTTATTAAAGTAAAGAGAAAATAAAGAGAAAGTAACTAAGCTGATTTCCTGTCCGTTCGTTCGCCATACAAATACGCTACAGTAAATTAAAACTACATTAAAACATTACAAAAAAATGTTTGCAAATTAATACAACAATAAAACAATAAAAAAA